GAGAAAGCTCAAGGGATATAATGTAATATAAGAGTTATACATAGGAGAAAAATTAAGCATTTTACAACAGGTGATGAGGGTGATCTTGCTCCCTAGAGGGAGCCCAGAGCGGGAGGGATGGACTTTGTGAGGTCTCTGACTTCAGGGAGACTCAGTAGATTAGCAATGTAGGCGAGCAGATCCTGGAGTGGTTCTTCCTGCAGCTCACTCAGGAGTATGAAGGACACTCTCCAAGAAGCTGGGATTTGCCTGGGAAACATCTAATGCTACACATCTATGGAGGTTTGACCTTGGGTAGATGCCCAGTGCCCACCAAGCTGCTCTATCACTCCCCCTCCTCAGCTGGATGGGGGGAGAAAAATATACTGAGAGGCTCATGGATCGAGATAGGGGCAGAAAGAGATCAGTCACCAAATATGTCATGGGCAAAACAGATTCTACTTGGGGAAATGAGCTTAATTTATTACCAATCAAATCAGAGGACAATGAGAAGGTAAGGAGGGTAATGGAGCAGTTCTGCAAAGGCAGGGAAAAGTCATCCCTATCACTGGAGACTCTACCCACAGTGCAAGGTGTGACTGAGATCAGTCCTTTACCCCACCCACCCCTGCAGTCTGAGATCCACATTGTTCCCAAGGGAAAGAAAAAAATCCTTCCCTGTGAGGGTGGGGAGGCCCTGGCACAGGTTGCCCAGAGAAGCTGTGGCTGCCCCATCCCTGGGAGTATTCAAGGCCAGGTTGGATGGGGCTCTGAGCAACCTGGGATAGTGGAAGGTGTCCCTGCCCATGGCAAGGGGTGGAACGAGATGAGCTTTAAGGCCCCTTTGAAACCAAACCATTATCTGATTCCATGACACTATTTCCCTGGCCAGGACATGCAAAAATCTAGTGACTCCTGGTGCTGTTCTGCCTCTCTGTTGGAAGAAAGAGAGTTCTGTCAGCTAGTGGGAAAGGAAAGCCCCACAACTCCTCATCCTCCCCTGTGTCACAATGAGGAGACCAGGCACTACACCAGAAGTGATTCCAGAGGGAGGAATTGTAGGACTACACTGTATCACCCAGGTCCTGGCAGGGCCCCACACTAATGATCACAGTGCATTTGCACCTCTGACGTTTGGTGCTGCCTCCAGTCTGAAACTTCAGCTTGACTAGAACTAGGAGTGCGTGGTACAGAGGAAAGCCTTGGAAGCTTTCTTTCCTTCTGTGACACCCATCTTTAACTCCCATATGGACATAGGAAGCAATTGGAAGGATTATATTGGCTGTACAGAGCAATGAGAAGACACAAAGTGAGCAGTTGGAGGAATTAAACAGCACCCTGTTGATTTGGAAGAAGCTACAGCTACACATCCCTATACAATGAAGCAGTCTAGGGTAAGAGGTGACCTCCTGAAACACAGCACCTCCTCAGCACCTTCCCCAGATCATCACTAAACCACTCCCAAGCCAGGGATGACCCTGTTTGAAAAGGATGTGTACACAGACACTTTCAGCTCCCAAACAACACTCAGGAGCAAATGCAAAAGCATATTTGGCTCTACTAAGCACTTAGGCTTGGACTGTCATCATCCCCGAGCTGCTGGGAAACAAACCACTGGGGAAGGGGTCTTGCTGTTCTGCACCCTCACAGCTCCATGCTGAGGAAGATCAAGTGTTCATAGCAAGAGAAGTCTTATATGAGCATTTGCTTCTCCCACAGGACTGGCTGGACTTGCTGGACACCAAGGCTGGGCTCACAGTCACTCCACTGCTTGTTGACTGGGAGTGCCACAGAGATCATGGTTACATGATGTATCTTTGACTACTACAAAGTGGTCTGAAATGGTCGTCTTCTGGTCAAAACATACTGTAAAGGGTGAATTTTTCTAACAATAAACAAGGAACCTATTCCCCTATGAGTATGCAAATTGCTACTCAGGAAACAGTCTGGGCTGTTAGGAGCTATTAATGTGCACAAAATCAATACCCAGGCAGTTTGTCTGCTCCATTCAGAGACAAATATACTTATGAACTCTACACAGTATAGCTGGTGTCCATCAAGCTATTGTTCAAGACTCTTTCAGGGTCTGTGGACAAGTTTTAAGGAGTCCATAAAGGTTATCAGTAAGCTGGTATTTACTGTACTGTTATTCTCATCTCCACCAACAATATTTAGAAGATCTGCAAATCAGAAAAGACTGGAAAACAGTTATCTAACTCCATCCAAGCTTGAGAAAGGTCAGATTTAGGTATCTTCAAAGGGTCAAATCTATATAACACCATTTAATGTCATTTACTCTTAAAGTTGAACTGACTTTGGTCTAGATGTAGGTTTCCTGCTTCTGCCAATCTTCTGCATGAATACTAGGAAGTCTTAAGAACAATAACAAACAGACACCTAAAGGAGAACAAGAACAGAACAACCATATACTCTGCCATCTTTTAACCATTTCTGGTTCTTGGGGTCTACTCAATCTGCTGTGTTTTGTTTATTTAGTAATCTGCAATCAATCTCTTTTCTACCTTACCAGGTCACCTCTTATTTTCATTCAAATTTCTTGCATCTCCACCCTCCTTTGTCAACGACCTCCCCAGTTGTGCTTCTCCCTGCCTGAAGTACCACCTCCTTGTTTGTATTTTGAACCTGTATCACAAGAGCCTCATTGGATTACTCCAAGTCTAGGTACCCAAGAAGAAACAGGTAATGCTTAATCCCTACTCAAGCTCTCCATGTATTTCATAATTAGGCCGGGGTCATACTTTTTTTGGTGTCACTGATGATCCTTGCCTTCTCCAAACATATTCCAGCTCTAGTCTGAAGATGAAGCACCAGGACTGCAGCGGTACCTGAGCTCTGAGCAGAGCCTAATATTTGATTTGCTATTTAAATTGCCACTGAACACTGAGCCAAATTTTTAACTGACTTCTTTCCATTCTATCAGCTGGTCAGAGACTCTGACCACTGTTTCCCCTTTTTAACCATGCCAGAACCTTCTCTTTTATCCCATGACTGTACAGTTTCCTCTAAAGCCTTCTGACCTAATCAAAGAGACTCACCATTATCATTGTGCTCGTTTATCTCTTCAGAGAAATCAGTTTCCTAAAGCAAAACCTTTCTTAACAGAAACCTTGTTGACTTAGATAGTAGAAAAAGGTTCTTCCCCTAGAGGGTGGTTGGGCACTGAACAGGCTCCCCAGGGCAGTGGGCACGGCCCCAAACCTGACAGAGCTCAAGGAGTGTTTGGACAACACTTTCAGGCCCATGGTGTGACTCTTGGGGATGGCCCTGTGCAGGGCCAGGAGTTGGACTTGATGATCCCTGTGGGTCCCTTCCAACTTGGCATATTCTGTGTTATTCTGTGAAATTTTTTGTATTTATCAGGCATTCACTGATTAAATTCCTTGTTATACTATTAATTGGCCTAATACAAATGTCAAATTTACCAGACTGCAGTACCCTAGATACACTTGTGGAACCTGTTTTAAAGAAAGGCACCGTGCTCACTACTCCCTAGGCTGCAGGCACCAATGGAGGATGAAGTTAATTATACAGTGCCATAAGTAATCCCACTATTTCCCCTGAAGTCGTGAGTGAATACCACTCAGTTCTGGGGACTTGTCAGCATTCATTCCATATGTCTGCAACGCAATTTCTGCCACACTTATTTAATAGGAGAGATGCTAGTCTGTCTTTGATTTCATTTCTTATAATTCAATGACTCTCCAAATTGTATTCTCTTCTGGGACCACTAATTCACTTCTAGGAAAATCATTACAACAGACCAATTACAAGAGCAAATACAAGTGCTGTACTCAAAATTATTACATTTATACTCCTCCCTGCTGCTCCCTCTTCCAGCTATTTCTTTTACACCTCTACTGTCCATGCATATTCTCTAATGCATAAAGACTCTTATGGACCTTTATGGCAAACAGGGCTCAACTGGTCAGTCAGCCTTGCACAGCTTATACTTCCATCAATCCATCCTCTAAAAACAGACTCCCAAACTTACCCTAAACCTGACTGGATTAAAAAAACCTCTTTTTTTTTTTTTTCCCCTGAACAGATGATCTATCTGATACAATTGCCTATAACATACCTTGACATAATACATCCACCTGTAAAACATACTGGCAGTTGTGAGTAATCTCATTTCTACACATTGCTGCAGGTTTTGAGCACCACTGATGAAGGGCTTCAGGGATGGTATCTGTAATGAGAGTGTTTTGGGACAACAACTTTCCTCCAAAAGAGGAGTCAAGGATCATGTGGGCTGAATGAAGAAGGGAAAGAGATGAATTAAGTAGGCAAGCAGGGTCAGGCTGACTCTGTGGTTTGAAATACAGCAGCTGAGACAAACAAGGCTTTGTAAGATAAAAAAAAGATGGGTGTGAACTCAAATGTGACAGTGAGAGCATCCAGGGCTCAAGGATTAGAGACAGTCATGGCTTTGGATAAGTGACAGGGAGCAGACAAGCACATGTACTCACTGGTTAACAGTGCTGTCCCAGTGCAAAGGTAAAAGAAAACAAATTCTGTGCATGAACCATTGCCCTTGATTCCTTCAGCAGGACACAGACTGGTGCATCCAGGGGGGGGAAACAGGGTCTGGCTTTTTCCTTGACTCTTGTCTCATTGGCCTCTTCCAGTGTGACTGCATGGCAGACAGAATGTCTCCCCAGTGGCTAAATGCCATATACATGGACTTACCTTTGTGGCTTCCAAGTCAAGAAGCAAGAAAAAGATGTGAGGAGTTAATTTGGAGATTGCCATTGAGCATTCCCGAGGTGGTGAACTTGCTGGAGCAAGACAGCTCTCTTGGAAAGTGCCCAGGTCAGCTCAGTGGCAGCAGGACAGTGCAGGACTGCAGCAATCACCTCTGAGGAAGAAAAGGTGCACTTCTGCAAGTGGACGTGGACTGTCCTAAGAAAGCTGCATTAATTTCACATCAAATATTTCATATGAACACAATAAAGTCCAAGAGGGCAGCCAGTCTTTTTGACAAAGAAAACACAGCACACTTTAAAAAATACTGATTTTATTCATATGTTCTAGCCTATTCAACACTGGATCACACTGGTAGGAACAACCACACATATCTAATTACATGACTTAAAAGGTTCTTGCCTGTGCAAGGTTGGGTTTAAGTCAAGCACATATTATGGTACCATCAATAAGGACAATGATTGCTTTTCAAAGCTCAGTTGAGTCCCATCTCCCTGGTCAACTTCCAAGCCTAATAACCTCTTCTCCCACTGTGTGTGGGACTGCCTACAAAGAACTTGGATTCTCAAAGCCTGAATCCAGCAAACAGCCTGAAGCATGTCCTCCATCAAAAAATTCTCTACACCTCACGTTCTCTATTGGAAAGGCTTCAGGTTTTCATTGAAACAAACAAATTGCACCATCAACAATTGCTCAGAAATGTTGAACCAGATTTCTATCAAGCCGCTCCAATAAGGGAGCTGGAATTACTTATTTCACCACATGGTCTGGCCTGAAAATTCCAACTGTCTTCCTTGAAATAATGCATCAGAACCAGGTCTCACAGCAAAAGCAAAGCAATCCTGTAACTACCACCCCTGCTGATTGTGTGGGCGCACAGCATGGTCTAAAGCCTCTGACCGGTGCGCCGTGTGTCTGAAGGGTATCCATGGGCTTCTGCAGGATAGTTATGCTTTTCCAAAGGCAGCCTGCACCTAGGCTGACTCTGAAGACAACTGCCTTTGCTGTCCATGGCAGCTCTGGTCACTCACTGTCAGCCACATGGCAAGATCAGGATACACAGAGACTCAGAGAAGTCCCACAGTGCAAGCTGGCCGGCACTAAGACATGGAGTAGGTCTCTTGGGAACATGGAGTACACACTGCCTAAGGACCACAGCCTCACATCCACACTAAGGACTACTCAGAAGACCTGCTCCAGAAGCAACTTTCAATCTGGCAGCTCAGGGTTTCTTTTATAAGCCTCTGTGAACCTGACAGGTAGTCAGGATGTCACAGCTTGTCAGAGTTCAGACCCTCAGGTATTACAGCCCAGCCTGTTACAGCTGCCAAAGCAGAGTGAACTGCCTTCTACCTCTTTTCCCTCACACACTGACTGTGAGAACTGCCAGACAGGCTAAATGTCACTCATGAAAATAGAGAGGGTGTTATTGATAAATAGTTCTAGGGAACTCAGTGCCCAGCATCCATCAGACTAACTTCTGAAAATCCCAGTCATCCTGCTTACTCCACTCTTCTCAGTCTCTCCCCTTTCAGAATCAATTCTTTCTACCCATCCTCCCACTCTCCTGTGCAGAGAACTGGCAACACACACAGGGTGGATCCACATGTGGTTATGGAAATCTGGTGCACGACTGACCTTTGCCGCTGCCAAAGGGAGGGAATTCCAGGCCACAGCATCCCTCTCTGCCCTTCCCTTTTCAATCCTAACTGGGTTTTCAAGCACTTTCAGCACAGCACAGCATGGACTTGCGGAGCTTGAAAAGCAACAGAGGTTCTTATCACAATGGTGCAACAGGAGAAAACTTCAGAGCATTTTCTGGGAATGCTGAGTACAATTATATCATAATTTCAGAACTGTCTGGCTATTGTGTCTTCTAAATCACACAAAAGACTACCACAAACAGCGCTATTTTGGTGAAAACCTCTATGACCACTGAAACTAAGTCACTAACTCCTTTAGAGCAGGCAATGGACTCACATGTTCACAAGAACTGACTGTACATACACTAGGCAAGACGCTTTGTAGGTACATGAGAAACACCTCTAGTTTGGGCCCATCCCTTACACAGCAGATATTTTGCATGAACAGGATGATTGCTACCTGTAGAGCTATGTGAAATACCTACCTTTTATCTGAGCTATGAAATCACAGTTTTAAAAAGCACAGTAACCCGAGGCCAAAAGACAGGCAGACAAACGGACAGACTTCGGTGACTTGCTCAATTCTCTGGAGAGAGCTCTTCTAAGGGATGACCTTACCCATTTGCCAGGTCTGGATCTTCCACTTGAAAAAAAAAAGTTTAAAGGAAGTTTCAACAGCAGAGTCTTTTGGAGATGTCCTGTGTCATTTCCAGCTTCCCACAGAACTCAGTGCTTGTCTGGGGTTTTTGATGAACAGCTCATAAATTGCTGCAGTTGAATCCTGTTTTACTTGGTTTCCCCGGAAATGAGACACATTTGAATCTTGTAGGGGATTCTCCCTGCCTCCTTCTTCCAATCCCTGTTCACATCTAGTTTCAGTTTCTTTGAACTGAGAGTGTTGACCCCTTCAAAATCAACAGCACCAAGAAAATCACAAAGCAAGGAAAAGTTTCCTGTCCAAAAAGGTCGGATTCCCTGCACACAGGGAAACGTCACCAACTCTACAGTAAGAAGATGCAACCACCTCTTTTGCAGCATCCTGACATGACAGCCTTGCAGCATCCAGAATCCAGCCTAGCAAGGAAAAATAAAAAAAAAGTTTTGCGTTAAAAAAAAATGCCCAAGACAAAGGTGTTATTTTACATGGATCACAGTCAAGACACGTCAACCTCAGGGTTCATTTCCTAAGGAGAACGTTTGAAAGGACTGAATTTGAGATATCTTGTCAAGATTACTGCAGCTGGCTAAAACAGAAAGTGTTACATTTCTTTGATGCCTAGTGGGATTGGTTTTGGGGGCGATTTTTCCTTACGGCTGCTGGGAATTATACATATCTCTTCATGCAGGAGATGAAATACATTTTTCATACATTGGAAGGCTACAAAGTTTGTTAGGATGCACTGCAGTGCTATGCTCTCCAGGCATGGAGACATAAGGTCTGGCTTTTACTGTAACTGGGACTTTGGGAATTCCCACAGCCATTGGTGTCTAATTTTAAGTCCTTTTGAGACAGATCTATATTAACGATTTGGCTCATAAGCCCCTCTCCTCCATGTCAGGGGCAGGGAAGTCTCTCAGAGCAAGAGAGGGAATTTAAAATTGAAAATGTTTATTTTATTATTCTAAATCAGATCTGAAACAATTTATTAGGCAACAGATGGAAAACAGGTTGGGTCTGCAAGAACCTTTTGTTCTTCAGAGACTTCTCCATTGCCATGCTTTCATGCAATCCATTCTAGCTGCATCTAAGTCCATCTGTGCTGGTTACACATGGAACCTACAGGGCTGTTAATAAGTTATGAAAAATATCAGCAGTCCTCAACAACAAAAGAGGGAGAAAGATAAAAAATAACTGGTTTTATGCAGTATTTTCTACAAAGACAATTCCATTCCTCACTCAGTGCAGGAGTGTCAAACAGTATACCCACTACGAAAATCATGCACTTTCTAGTTCCTTGTGCTGCTGCAACTCCTGCTACTGCTTGACAAGGACTCAAGTAGCCAGAAAAAGAAAAAGAACAGGCTATAAAAAGCATACCCCAGGCCAGAAGGTTGGCTGTAACATTGCCAAAGCCCAAAGGAGCAGAAAGAAGTGGGAGAAGCATTAGAGGCTGGAGAAGCCTTCTAAGTGAACAAAATTTGTCAAAAGCTCTATCTAGATTCAGAAGGAGAAAATGTCAGAAGCACATAAAATATATAAATATGTATCCTCATATAAATATATATTGACATATTCACACTCACACAGAAGGTACATATTTAAGCAGTGATTACAGATACACAGAAGATGCGCAAGATATTACAAGTAAGAATTTGTAAAATGCATTTGTTCCTTATGAAGTTTTCTCAGGGAAAAAAAAGCCAGGTCTACCAACAAAATGTATGGCCTGTTTGCTTTGAGTTCACCAAAGTTGTGAGAAATCTCTGTTTTACAGGCTAAATATAATGCTGATCTTCAAAGCAAAATTCCCTCAGTGAGTTCTCTTTCATGTTAGCTTTTTCCTGTGGATTTATATCCTGGAAAGTTTTCAATCCAGGGATTACAGAGAGTGAACAAATTGAGATGCTAAGGCTGGTTCACAGTTCTCAAAAGATTCAGAGCAGCAGTAACTCTGGATCCCAGTGATTGCTTGGAGTTTGGTAAGTCAGAGACCCCATCACATAACTCAGGGGCAGAGAGAGATGTCTGCAACAGCTGCACTAATTGAACCTATGACAAATCCCTGGATTTTCCCGCAGAGAGAACAATCCCAGTGGTCTTTGGTTTGATTCTAGTTTTACACTGATGTATCTGATGTGGATCTTCCCCAAAGTCAGTAGAGATGTTCCACTGGTAAAGGGGAGAGGACAAGAGTCTAAATATTCATTATGTGATATTGAGGATCTCTTTTTATGCATGGTGGATATTAACAATCCAACAAATGCTTAGAAGTTGTAAAATCCTGATCTACAGGGAGAAGAGTCCTGCTCCTTTACAGTTTGCAAATGCTCTTTGGCAGTAAACAAGACTCCTCCTGCACTGCAAGTATTGGGTATAATGTCATCTGTCTGTTCAAAGTAAGGGTTGTGCAAAACTTAAAATCAATAGCAAAAGAAATGGGGTCTCAGTAGATAGAAAGAGGAATGACATAAAAAGGTTTTCAGGTTTGGCATGAAAAAAAATTTCTTGAAGTATTTCTAAATCAAAAAGCCCAAATTTTTCTGTACCATCTTTTGTCATCTGTTCTGTAAAAAAAAAGGAATTGCAGGGATCAAACACCACAGCATTAAGCAGATGTCTGCAAATGGCTTAGAAAGCATGAAAGAGCTGTTATATTCAGTTATAGTATAACACATAATCATTTAAAAATGCAAATATTGGGAAAAAACCAAACAGGGTAGCCACAGGACAGAAAAACTCACATTTTAAACCTGTCAAATAAGCAAGGGTTTAGCTTACACACCTCAGCAGTGAAGGACTGACACGAAATCAGAGACTAGATCCAAGTTTATAATAGTGCTTGAAGGAAGGCACCATTAAAATAATGATTAAAATAATGATTATTATCACTCACACAGAGAAAGCAATAGGAAAGGCTTTGAATGGGTCAGAGGAATGGTAGAAGGATCAAAGAAGACTTTTCTATGTCTATAATTCTATAAATGTAAAAGCAATCAAGTATTTAAAAGGAATGGACATGAAGAAAAACAGGAAGCATAAGATAAATGAAATACCAAAGTACTCCTTGCCAGCCTATGACTTACTCATCACTGTTCTTGCTTACTTACTTTTAAATACTATTTTAATGTAAAGTGCAAATCTAAACCAAGAATTTCCAAAGCAGCCAGTGATGTTGGATGCTCAGCTTGAACTATAAAGGGACTGAATTTCAGAAAGCAGGTCCTGTACAGAAACAAAACCTACTACATTGCTGAGGTCATTTTTTACAAGCTGGACCTCATATATATGTAGAGGGATGCAAGGGATTAATTTGGGGGGCCCATTTCTCTATTTTTTATTGCCCTTAATTTTGAGAGTCTGATACTGATGCCTGAATTCATAGTAAATGGCTCCTCACTCCTCAGTGAGGCTTTCTGAGACCAGTGACATGAAAAAAATGGATTATGTTCTGGAATGGGATGTAAACTCACCTGAGCAATTTTTCAACCCCATTTCAGACACCTTCCACATTTATGATTTGAAAAGATTCATGTTTAACACAGAACTGACTCCTGCTAACGTGGAAGATCCTTGAATCCTTCTCAGTGATGACAGATCCAATCCCATTTAAATTCTACGTGCAAGTAAGAGGGAGATCTACAAACAAGAACAACTCCTAGCAAGTTAATTGAGAATGATTTCAGGCTTTGAGTGTTTCTGGGGATAGCAAAGATGTGAGGAAAGTTATTTCAAGTGGATGTAACTCCACTGAAGAAAATCTTACTTGCTTTCATTTTGACAGACCCATGTGGCAGTCAGGTTATTACACTGTGCAAAGATAAGGGAGAGATGATTAAACAGATGAGATCCAGTGTATTTATAGTGCCCATCTTAAAACAGAAAAGCAGAAAATACCAACAGAGTTGTGGACTGAGCTGTTTCTAATGAGAGGATGAACTCCTTCCATGTCCTGCTACAGTAAAGGACACTGATGCAGTGGACACATAAAATCAGCTGGAAATAAAATAAGTGGAAAGATGCAGAACTGCCTCATGTGAGATTGGTAGTTTTAACTTGATTGAGCGAATCAAAACATTCAGGGGAATCCCCAAAACTCCATCATCCCTCCCCAAATTAAATCTCCAGTTTAACCCCAACACAGGGCTGGCCATATGCAGCTCACACTTCTCTCCCTGGGAGCCATCTGGAGCTCCCTTGAAGAATCCTGACTTTCAAGCACATGTTGTGTTTAATTCCGACACTGACAGCCAAAAAGGACATTGTTGGATTTAATGACATTGTACAAAGACTATATTGACTTTCTCCAGAAAATGGGTGATGTGGCCAAGTCCCGCCTCCATTCTGTTTTACGTGTCTAAATCCAGTCCAAGGCCAAATGCTTGTCCTCAGCTGCCACCAAAGCAGTTCTCATCTCCAAACTTCTGGAGACAAAAGAACACTGGTAGAATGACAAAACAAGGCAGATCCACCACGTTGCCAGTGGCAAAACTCTCACCCAGGAAAGAAGGAAGAAGTGAAGGGCAGGAGGTCTCATTCCATTCTCCAAGGAATACTCTGGAGCCAGACTTCCTCTTCTGCATCATTAACCCTACGTCCCACAGAGCTTCAGCAGCAAGGTCAGCATCCTACTGTGCCCCTGCACTAGCCTCCTTGATGCCTGGTGGCAAGGGGACTCTCCCAACACTGTAGGTCCTGCTCACTGCACAAAAAGAAGCTGCTCTCCCTCTCTCCTGTCTTGAAAGAGTCAGTCCACACTCATCTTAAAAAAAAAAAGGTTTCTCTGTTATCAGGGGAGGTTTCTGCCCCTAAGTCCTGCTTCTGCACAGCCAGGGTGTAAAGCTGCATGAACATTGCGGAGGGTCTCCAGCACTGACTATTTAGATAGATCTGCAGTAGCAAATGAAAGGGATTAAAAACTTTAAATGCTGAGGCAGAAGATGCTCCACATGTGAGTGGAGCCTTCATGGCTGGGCTGGTTTTGGCTGGGGCAGAGTTAATTTTCTTCCCACTGACTAGTATGGGGCCATGTTTTGGGTTTGTGCTGAACACAGGGTTGACAATACAGAGACATTTTTTGTTGTGCTGGCACAGAGACAAGGCCTTTTCTGTTTTTCCTACTACCACGCTGGCAAGGAGGCTGGGTTGGGAGGAGACACATTTGGGACAGGTGACTCCAACTGACCAAAGGGATATTCCAGACCCTATGGCACCACGATCAGTATATACAGTGGGAGGAAGATGGAGGAAGGTGGGGATGTTTGGAGTGATGGTGTTTGTCATCCCAAGTCACTGTTAGGCGTGATGGAGTCCTGCTCTCCCAGAGATGGTTGAACACCTGCCCACCCATGGGAACCAGTTTTGTTTGGCTTGTTTTGCTTGCCTTGTGTGCATGGCTTTTCCTTTCCCTATTGAA